CACTGGATTGTGCCATCATTTACTGCACTTGTTTCCAATTCTTGGACATTCAAGTGACTTCTTGTTTTTTCACTGTGTAAAAATCACACATCTTTATGAGGGTTGCAAAGCCTTGCTCCAATCATGGGGTCGTGGGAGGAAACCCCTCAGAGCACAAGGAAGGAGGGAGTCCAGAAAGGTCTGGATGTGGCCTGGATTGCAGAGACTCAGCTGGGTGTCTGAACTAGAGAGCCTGACAGGGTCAGGGAGTGAGCTGGGGTCACTTGCCCCTGCCTGCTTTGGGCTTGCAAATGCCCCTGTGGTTTCCAGGCATCTCTCCATCCCTTGGCGGGGATAGAATGAAAGGGAAGGGCAAAGACTTGCCAAGGCCTCTCAATAAGGTATATGTTAGGGCAGGGGTGAGTTGGACACAGGTAGCTGCTCTGAATGCCCTGGGGCTGCTCGCTTCTCCTCAAGGCCCCTGCACACCTCAGCTGCATGGGTAGTGTGTGACATCACTGCTTTCGGCTGTGACACCCTGGAGGCCCTAGACCCAGGGACTACCCCTCCATTAAGATCATCTAGAGGAGAGACTGAGGGTCCTCTAGGAACTAGGTCCTTGGCTCCCAGAGAGATGGGTGGGGATGAGGCAGGGACTCGGGTAGCACAGCCGAGACTCTGCTGTCTACCTACCCAAAACAGATCTTGCCTTTCCCTGGCCTCTCTCAACCTGCCCACTGGGCAATGGCAGGGAAGCGTGGTCAGTGTGCCTCACTGGGCTCTGAGTGTGCCCTGTCCTCTCTGAGGGGCTCCTTCCTGAGGCTCCATGGGGCTCCCACTTCCTCCAAACCCCTCATGAGAGGCCAGGAGAAGCCCATAGACCAGGAATGGGCTCCCAGGGTGGAAGGATCAGGCCCTGCTTTTGTGATCTGAACCTGTCTCCTAGCCCAAGCTTCATGCCCCATGGCGACACTAGGAAGCTTCCGTCACAGTCAGGTGACAGTCACATGGGAGTCCCAGCAGAGTGATGTGCAAGCAGGGCCCCTAGGCATGTGGCAGCCTGCATCCCAGCACCACACATGCTCTTTCTGCATTGGGAGTTGGGCTGTTGTAGTGCATTCCCCTGTCATTGCACTTTGTGATTCTTTATTAGACATTCCTCTAAGTTCAGGTCCAGTGCGGTAACTCTCAGGGACTCAGCACCATGGCAGCCTCTTCTCATTCCTTTGCCCTCATTTAGGCATCAGCCCATGTCCTTCCCAGTGGTGAGTCAGCCAAGGGAACCTAGCATCCTTTGGACATGTCCTCAGTGCCCTGCTCCTATCCTGATGCCCCTCTCTTCCATTCTCTTCCTCTGTCCACTACCCAGGCATTGTTCCTGGAGCCATTCTGTCTCAGGTTACTCCAGAAACATCTTTCTAGAACCCATCCATGTTCCTCGGAGGCAGAAACAGAAACAACCCTTTCTCAGACATTCATTATGAATGTGTGTGATAGGGGCTGGGACTCAGCCCTAGGAACATAAATCTCCCTCCACCTCTCGTCTATCATTAGCAGAGTGGCAGCTAGGAGGTCAGAAATGCTCCCAGTGGGTGAGGATGAGTTCTGTAGCCCAGAAATAAGGATTGCAGCCTCCCGGGCTAGAGAGATGGCTCAGTGGTTCAGAGCATTTGCTGCTCTTCCAGAGAAGCCAGGTTAGTTCCCAGCATCCACATAGTGACTCACAGCCATCTATAACTCCAGTTCCAGGGGATCTCATGTACTCTTTTGATCTCTGTGGGCACCAGGCATGTATATGTTGTACTTGTACATATGTATCATACACATAAAATAAGTAACTCAAAAGGGCAGCAGCCTCTCCTCGTGTATTATTTTCAGGGGTCGGTCACCTCAGCCACCTCTTTGGATCCTCAAGACAGATCCTCATGGTATAGTCAAGGATTACCATCTGCTTTTTGTTTGTTTTTCAAGACAGGATTTCTCTGTGTAGCCCTGGAAGTCTTGAACTTGCTCTGTAGACCAGGCTGGCCTCAAACTCACAAAGATCTGCCTGCCTCTGCCTCCTGAGTACTGGAACTAAAGGCATGTGCCATCACCAGCATCATCTGGTCTTTATAGATGATGGCATTTAGGGTCATGAAGTTCACCAAGTCATCAAAGGCAAGATAGAATCCAAAGCTGCAGGTTAAAATCCAAGGTGAGTCACACCCAAACTACCCTGTAACTTCCCCGAAATTCCGAGCGAGGCCACTCCATGCCCCTTCTCAGTATCTGTGTCTCCCTGCTAGAGGGTGTGGATCTGCTGCAGACATACTCAGTAACTTTTCTCCTTCCTTCAGCCAGCCTTCCAGGTAACGGGTAGATAGCTGGCTGAAGGCAGGAAGGCAGCCCTCCAAGTGCATTCGTCCTGTCCCTGTAGAGTATATGCACCTCCAGCTGGGGCATACAGATGCAGACCTCCCTTCAGCATCCTTAGGTGCCTTAGGTCTTGCAGGAACTTTCCAAGCTCAGAGTTTACCTTGAGGGCAGATTAACCTGAAGTGGATTTCCTAAAACTACATGGGGTGGGGGGGAGTGGATTTCCTAAAACTACACCCTCCCCTGGCAAAAGCTGTGCCCCTGTGCCAAGTGGAACACAGTCCTGCTTGACTTAAGAATAAAACCCCCTTCAGCCTCCAGTCCCATCTGCCTCCAAGACCTGGTAACATCACCTGTCCCCTTCTCTCCAGCTCTACCACTCTGTAGTTCAGGCAGACCTTGTACTTTGCAGTCCTCCTGCCTCCCAAACAGCTGGGATGATAGGCCTGTACCATCAGGGAGTTCCAAGTACCCTCAGTTTACCTGAAGACAGTAAACTCCACCCACCAACAAGCTGACATGTTAGTGCACACCCCCAACTGGGGGGGAGGGGGTTGAGGCAAGAAGAATTTTAAGGCCAATTTCAGCTACTTAGTAGGTTTCTAATTGTTTGGTTGTGTAGGGGTGGTTTTGTTGTCACTTTGTTTTGTGACAAGGTCTCATCATGTAGCCCAGGCTGGCCTCAAACCTGAATGCCAAATTTATAGGTGTAAGCCACTGTGCCTGGAGTACATAGTGAGTTTGAAGTTAGCCTGGTCAACATAGCAAGGCCCAGTCTTAAATAAATGGTGGCCTGATGATACATGCCTTTAATCCCTTCACTCTGGAGGCAGAGGCAAGTAAGTTTGAGGCTAGCCTGGTCTACAGATTGAGTTACAGGACAGCCAGGACTATTACAGAGAAACCATGTCTCAGAAACAAACAAACAAATGGGCAGTAGCAGGGGGTAGGAGGGAGCAGAATAGATGACTCTGTGGTTAAAAGCACTTGCTACTCGTATGGAGGACCAGGGTTCAGTTCCCAGCATGCATGTCCAGCAGCTCACAGTCATCTATAACTGCAGCTCCAAGTGATCCAGCACCTTTCTTTTTTTTTAGCTTCCTCAAGCACTTGCATGTTTGTGTACATACACATAAATAAATATACATAAATAAAAGAGAGGAAATATTAATCTTAAAATAAATATTTAAAGCTGGGTATGGTGGCTCACGCCTTTAATCTCAGCACTCAGGAGGCAGAGACAGGCAGATCCCTGAGTTTGAGGCCAGCCTGGTCTACCAAGCCAGTTCCAGGACGATCCGGGCAATACAGAGAAACCCTGTCTCAAAATAAATTAATACATACATACATATTTATTTTTTTAATATTAAAAAAAAGTGTGGTAATGCCTTCACGGTTGGACTGCACCCTTCCAGTCCACTTTGCATGGGAAGCATAGGAAACACTTGGGGAAACAAATCCGACCGTAGTCTGTGCTGATGTCTGTGGCCCCTTAGACCTCATCAGGGCTACACAGAGGGCCCTCAGTCCTCCAGTGGCACCTTGAGCCCTCAGCCCTCGCCCATGCTGTCATCCCTGCTGCCCTTTGTTCGGCCACAGGACCTTTGCAGATAGTCCTCCCGCTGTGTGAAATAAGCTTTCTGGCACTGCGACAAAATCCCCAATCGATTTGACTCCTTCAGAGGCTTCAGCCTGAATCTCCAGGCCCTGATGCGTTGCGAGTGTGGTGAAACTGCCAATATCACAGAGAGCCTGCATTGGAGGGAGAGAGCTGTTCTTGGTGTAGATGTCAGGTGAGGAGCTGGACCAAGAGACCAGCATCCTAGCAATCAGCTTCAAGGCCACACCCCCATGACCTGAAACCTCTCACTAGGCCCCGCCTCTTAGAGTTTTCCACAATCTTCCCTTACACCAAAGGACTGCTAAACCTTTAACACAACCTTCCTAATGCTGCAACCCTTTAATACAGTTCCTCGAGTTGCGGTGACCCCGCATTGTTACTTCATAACTACAATTTTGCTACTTTTTGAATTGTTATGTATATATCTGATATTCCATCCTTTGAAGGGTTCACAACCCAGTGGTTGAAAACCTGTTTTAGCACCTAGGCCTTCAGGCAGAATTCAGATCCAGGCTATGGCGGCACCGTTTCCTGCCCCTTGAAAACTGGCTTCTCCACATCTCAACATAAAACCTTTCCTGCCTCCCTGTCAGTTCTGCCCATTGCAATTAAGTCTATGTGCTGCCATGCGCTGTACTTCTTCAGGAGAGACAGGCTGTTCTATACTTGTCTTCTGCACCTGGATTAAACTCCTTAAGACACGCAGACACGATTCTCCCTTTCCCCCTGACTTTCGCATCTCTCGCGGCTGTGTTCTCAGCATCCGGCATACAGCTAGTTACTGGCTAATCATGTGCCGAGTAAGGAGATGAGCGAAATCGGCTTTCTGATGTGGGCACCACTGCCATCCCCACTCCACAGACAGGGGAACTGAGGCGCTGAGAAATAGCTAGCTCAAGGTCCCACCGGTGACAACTGGCAAAGCAGGGCTTAGGGCCAACTTGGAACACAAAGTTCACATCCAGGAGCCTGGCCTCCGTGACTACCTACCTGTCTTGCTCTCCTGACAGGCTCTGTGAAGACCGCGTGGGAAACTGAGACTCCAGTCCCAGGCAATTGCAGGCAGAACCATGGAGAGCTTGAGTGAACTTCAGAACCCGCTGCTGCCGAGGAGCCCCGCCCACCTCCACAGTCCCTACCCCTACTCTGAGGCCCCGTCCAGCTGGTCCTGCCAGGAGAAGCTTTATTCCTACCTCCTAGGAGGTGCTGGTCCCGCTCACGCCCACCAGCTCCTAGACCCAGGGTCCCTGCAGCTGGCTGTGGAGGCTTGGTACCGGCCCAGCTGCCTCCTGGGGAAGGACAAGGTCAAAGAGCCCAAAGCAGGCAGCTGTGAAACGAGCTTCACCGAAGCCAGGGAGCCTCCAGTGGGGCCCGCAGAACAGGGCTCAGAACCCGGTCAAACTGAGGAGGATGTCACCATCCACACCGTGTCCTATGGGGTTCAAGAGGAGCTGCAGGGCCAGGAGGACAGCCAGGAGGAGGAGGTAAGTAGCATTTTTAAAATGTAGATGCTAAGCTGGGCATGATGGAAAATACCTCTAATCTCAGGCGCTCAGGAGGCAGAGGCGGGAAGATGAGGGATTTGATGTCAACTTGATCTATATAGAGTTCAGACACATCCTGCATTACAGAGTAAGATCCCATCTCAAAAAAGAAAGACACACTTGTGTTCACAGCACTTGGGAGGTGGAGACAGAAGGATCAGGCATTCAAGGTCAACTCTGGCTACTGGTAAGTTCAAGGCTAGCCCACATGATACCCTATTGAAGGAGGAGGAGGCAGAAAAGCACTAGCTTGGGTTAACAATTTATCAACCCAAGTGATAAATCACAACTACTGTAAATAGCAACCATTAATCACTTGAAAATAATGTGATTATTTTGGTGTCTGGTCATGTTTCCTCTCTGCCTCTCCCACAAAGTATGTGGCTTTATAACCCGACTTTCTGATATTGCTCCATGTAATTTAATATGTTCTACAAGGTGATTTGTAAAGTGACAGGGTCTTTCATTGTGAGCTCCTTCATTATTTGTTAACTTGATTACCTGGTCTTTGAGCACTGAGAATTCCTTTCGTCTTCATCGGTCTTTCTCCTGTGATGAACATCTCTGCATTCAGAGACTTTCATTCTTCTGTGGTGAGAAGTTCCTAAGAGTACCATTCACCAGGTCATTGAAGTCTCTGGGTAGAGTAACGGAGTGTGACAAGACCAGCCTCTGCTCTCAACAGTAGAGGAAACTTGCTCTGTGCTTGCCCACCGGATACCGGATAGTCTGTTTTGTTGTTGCATTTTAAAACTACTCTATCTGTCTATCTATCTATCTATCTATCTATCTATCTATCTATCTATCTATCTGTCTATCATCTATCTATCGTATGGTCACAGCATAGATGTGGGAGTCCAATGACAGCTCATAGGAGTCAATTATCTCCTTCCGCCAGTGGGTCCCAGGAATTAGTGAACCATGCGTTTTCAACTCTTTTCAGTGTGACAGAGTTTGCAAGATCCTGGCTTTTGCCATCAAACTCCACTGTCTTGCAGAGTGATGCAACCTCGACAGAGAGCGAAAGCGAAGACACCTTCCTCACCCTGCCTCCCAGGGACCACTTGGGGCTCACTCTGTTTTCCATGCTCTGCTGCTTCTGGCCTCTGGGCATTGCTGCCTTCTACTTTTCCCAGGGGGTAAGTGTACAGGGGACTCAGTGGCACCTCTGACCACCTCTCTCAGCTGGAGGACTTGACCCTCACCTGCAGGATGGGAAGGGCCTGGTGGACTGGACTGTTTTGCTGTGCATGGGATTGTTGCCTTATATCAGCCTTTTGTCTCCCTAGACCAGCAAGGCCATCTCCAAAGGGGACTTCCGCCTGGCCAGCACCACCTCCCGCCGGGCGCTCTTCCTGGCCACACTCTCCATCGCTGTGGGGGCCGGTCTCTATGTGGCTGTAGTGGTGGCTCTGGCTGCTTACATGTCCCAGAATGGCCATGGCTAATGGTCAGTAGGACCTCTGTCCTGGCTCTCCTGGCCTATCAGAGGAAGGTGTAAGGCTTGGAACTGTGTACTCTATGGAGAGCCCTGACCTGTTGTTGAGGGGAGGCCGCCCATTCTGCAGCCCACACAGCCCTCTTGCTCACAACTCCCAGTCCCAGAGCAGGCCAAGTGTGGATGGGAAGCAGGAAAGGCAGGGGCAGGGTTGTTCAACAGACCTAGCCCAGCCTATTCTGCCCATTCCCCACAATGCCTCAGTCCCACAGGCAGCTCAGTTCTCCACTGGCCATCTTCCCCACAGAGAAACAGCAGGAGGTTCCAGGGAGGGAAAGGAATGCCCAGGGAACAAAGGTTGTGGGCAGTCTTTTCAGCCCAGAGGGCTCTCCCTTGTGTACATCTAACTCCTCCCCCAAATGCCCAAGATCCTCCAATCAGGAAAGAGATACGTGGACCCCAGTCATCCCTTGCTCTTTCCCTCGCTAGTGTGGAAGATAGTCGGCAGTGTCTCGCAGGGTGGAGATGGTCTTGGTGAGCTCTGTACTAAGGTCAGGTTGCTGGGGCTTTTCTGCACCAGACAAAAGGCAAGTGCAGTGCCAGAGAGGATGCAGGCCTGGAATACTGCCGGACCATGTGCTCCCCTCACTCTACCATCCTTTCTGGGCTCTGCTGGGAGGGCCCTGAGATGGTACCTCCAGCAGAGGAGACTGAGCAACTGTATTGTTACTCCCCAGCTATTGAACACAGGCTTATGGGAATCCAGGCTTATGGGAAAAGGGTAAGAAGAGACTCTGTGGAGCAGTCAACAGTGTGCAGGAGGAGTTAACTCCTGAGCAAAGTCTAGACAGGACTAAGAATCCACCTAAGGGATTTACTTCTCTGCACCTCTCCATCCTGATGGGCAAGGGTGTGTAAGACCCTCCCATGGAGGCTTCCAGGCTGTTTGGATTCTGTCTGGACTATTCAGTCTGGAGTAATTTTGCATTTCTAAATCCTCCATCAACGGAAGCAGGAAGGCCAAGCCTTTCTCTCCACCCATGATGTTTTCCCATCTTTGGATGATGGGGTAATGGTAGTAAAGGCCACTGAGCACCTTTGCTGATGTCTGCCACTCAGGACTGCTTTCCAGCCCCTCCACCCCAAGGCGCTAAGGAATGACAGAGTTTCAGAGACATAAAAAGCAGAGGACACAGTGCAATGGGAAGGGAAGCCCACTGGGACTCAACCTGAAGGAGTAGTGTGCATGATTTGGGGAACCTGGCCATTTCCTCGCTCTGGTTCCACTCCTGACCATCCTTGGTCCACACCCTCCCCATCTCCCTCACTTCAGGTGTTGCCCACGCTCCACTTCCTGCACTGGCAATTTTAACATCCCGGTTCTGTCTTTATTTATCCTGATAATAAACTTTTCTGTAACACCTGGTGCCATCTGGGCCTCTTGCTGTCCTGTGTCTGTGCCCCATGCTTCTCCAGTGCCGACTTCCATCATCCCATGTCTGTTGTTCTGGATCTCCATATGGACCTCAAGAAAAGGGGCCAGAGGGCGTTGGTGGTGCAGGCCTTTATCCCAGCACTCGGGAGGCCGAGGGAGGTGGATCTCTGTGAGTTCTAGGCCAGCCTAGTCTATGGAGCAAGTTCCAGGATATCCATGGCTACACAGAGAAACTCTGTCTTCAAAACCCAAATAGAAAAAAGGTTATTTGGAGGGTGGAGAGATGGTTCAGTGGTTAAGAGCACTGTCTGCTCTTCCAGAAGACCTGGGTTCAATTCTCAGCATGGCAGCTCACACCTGCCTATAACTTCTGACACCTTTACACAGACACATATGCAGGCAAAACACTAGTGAACATAAAATTAAAATATTTTAAAAAAAGAAAGAAAGAAAGCAAAGGGGCCAGAGGCTAATTTTGGCCTAAGCCTTTCCACCTGCGGTACCTGGGATGCAGGTTGATGGGTTGCATTACTTAGGCAAGGCAAGCTAAGATAAGATGCAGGCCTGCAGAGAAGCTCTCCTAGGTGTAAGAGCCTTGGGGGTCAGGAAGAGAGGCATGTTGCCTTCACTCAATGCCTGATGGGAATGGGTAGATAAGTAGCTTTGATGTCTTGCCCCTTGGATGGAAGATGAGGCATATTGTCCCCTAGCTCTCTGGGTCCCCAGCAGGACCTCTTGTGCTTTTCACTGCAGCTTGGCCCTCATTGGCTACCTTGCTTCCTCTCCTCCCATTGCTCTACTGCACCGCCTGAAATGGCTCCCCATTGGATGTTTCTCAGCGTTAGCTTCGAGGGAAACCAAACCCAGACTTACACATGCACATTCATATACATATACATACATACATATATATATATGCACACCATATGTGCACACATTTGCATATACACGAACCTCCACACGTGCCCAGCCGTGCAACATGCAGACTGCATGCAGCATATGAGCCCTCAAGAGGTGAAGATGGCAGTGTGAAGACTCCCATCCACTTCTGCCTACCCTGAGACATCCATTCCTTCTCTAGGCTGGCACAAGGCCCCAGTCCTAACTAGGCAGTCTGCCTCACAGCCCAGACAACACTCACTTCCTCCCCAGTCTTCCAGTATGCTGTTCTAGGCCTTGAGAAGTAGGCAAGGGGATCATATGACTTCCTGTGTCCTCCCTCCCTCCCTCCCTTCTTTCCTTCCCCCCTTTCCTTCTTTCTTAAGACCCAGTCTCAATATGTCTCTCAGGCTGCCTCCTGTAGGCACCTTACCTACATTGATTTACTATTTTCAACCCTAGTCAGTGCTCCGCCCCCTCCCCCACATCCTCGGCACATCCTTTTCCCTTCCGTCCCCACCCTGGATACAAATTTAGGTTCTCCCAAAGATAATGGGATGAGAGGCAGGGCCCTGGGGGCTTCCCACTCCCCTGCTAGGAAAGGCCTGTTCTGTGGAGCCTGGGCTTGTCCTAGAGTCCTTGGAGCACAGACAACCACACTCCCCTATTCTGGATGAGGTCTGCCTCTGGCATGCCCGGGGCACTTTAGCCCTCCTGCTTCCCAGCTCTGCCTGTGCCTCGTGCCTGAGGCCCAGGGCTGGCTGTCTGTTCCTCCCCTTCCTCCCCTGGTTCTTCTGGCTGACAGAGACAGGGGGCTGGGGGGACTTGGACAGTCCCCTGGGTAAAGGTGCCTGTGATGAGCTACGGTGCCTGCACATCTGGGCAAATATTACCAATTATTTTCCTCACTATAAACACGCAGCAGGAAGGCAGGGAAGCAACCAACCCAAACTGTTTAAAATAGAAACTGAAATTGCTGCACAGGGAAGTCGGGGCAGCTGGCAGAGCAGGGCCCCCCACACACACACACCAAGAATTCATGGTCCCCTCACCTGCTGCCCTTAAGTTGCACCTGCTCCCCCTGCCCCTCAAACCTTCTAATTCCATCTTGGGGTTTTCTGAGGGCCGGAAAGGATGAAAACAAGAAGTCCTTGCTTAGTGGATGAGGTATCTGGCAGAGGGGGGTAGCCTGTGCTAGGGAGGAAAAAAGACTTAACAAAGAGACGATGAGGAGCCCGGGGCTACGGCCATGTGGCCTGTGGTTGGCAGCTGCCAAGCAACCTCCTGCCCTAGGTAAGCCACAGAGCCAAGGGTTCCATGTGGAAAGGAGCGAGGGGAAGATGTGCCTTTTCCCTGCACCCCAGCCCAGGTGAGAAAGCCGTTCCTTGCACTGCCCCAGAACAGGCAGGAGGTTAAGGCCAGCACCTGTCCCCATCCTAAGAGGAATTTTTCTGATGACCAGAAACCAGTTCCCAGGCCCAGCAGCCCTCCCCACGAGCGTGCTGTTGGACACTGTCTTCATGCAGGCACATAGACTCAAAATGGTGACACACTTCCACATCAGTTAATAAGCAGGCTCTGCCCTTCCAAACACTTGTTCTCTTTTCCCTGGCTACAGGCCCAGGGCCACGGATCTCCCCCACTCTAAACTCAAGAGTTAGCAGGCAGCACAATAGCCCCCTTCCCCCAATGTATGGGCCTATGTCTGGGCTGCCCTGATGGTTAAACAGCTACCTGTCCCTGGCCATGAAGGCTCAGTCCGTCTGTCTGTCTGTGCTCGCAGCCTCTCTCCTCCATAAAGCAACTACCCAAGGAGGCAGCTGTAGGAAACCCATTGCCTTCACATACCAAGTATTCTTGTTGCTTTTAAAGTTCAGCCCAGGTCACAGACTGGCCAGACCTGAACCCCACTCCAAGATGGGGTGAAGGATAGTGCTGCAACAAGGCAGCACCCAAGTCTTCTAGGGCACGAATCTAGGAAGGAATCCAGAAGTGACCACACCGCAGATTGGGAAGCCCAGTGCCTCACTCCCAGGCCCTCGTGCCCGCTGATCTGAGCTGGTGATATTAGCCTTCCTGGAGGCAAAGAAAACCCAGGACCACCTGCTGCTACCTTCCTGCACGTTAACGGGTTCAAAGGCTTCCCCAGCTGCCCCCCCCCCCCGGCTGACACCCTGGCCCTTGCTATTTCTGGTGGCAAGGCCCAAGGTGGGTGAGAGGGTGACAACCTTGCTTCAGCCTGCTCCCAGGGGTTCTCACATCCTCTCTTGTACAGAGGAAGAAACTACTCTGGGCAGAGGAGTCCCCACAGGGAGACTCAGATGTTCGGAACAGAAATAAAAGGTGTTCGTGTGGCTCATTTGAATTTCCAACATTCCACCCTCTGTCCCTGAAAACTCCCTTTGAAGAGCAAGGCTGGCTTCAGAGCCAGTCCTAGCTCTGCAGAGGAATGGCAGAAATCCCCAGGAGCAGGGTCTGCCCAGGAACATCCCAGAAGGAAACAAAGGGGGCCAGACATAGCAAAGGACCTTCCAACAAACTCTTCCACAGAGGGGGCTGCTCCTGTCCCCCGTCTTACAGACAGGGAGACTGAAGCTAGTGAAGTCTATATCACAGTAAAAGGAGGCATCGCCTATGGCAGCCATCACCCACTACCTCTGTCCTGTCTGAAGCCAATGTCTGACCACCCCTACTCCGAGCCCTGTCTGTATGTAACACGTGTGCTCAGCTGTGAGCAGGGACGCAGAATAGTGGAAGGCTGAGGTCACAGCTTCCTGGAGACAGATTCCCCAGCTCAAGTCGCAGCCTTCCTTTTGGGTGACCTTGAGCAAGCGGCTCCTCGATGTTTTGCCATCTGTAAAAATAGGGGTCCTGTGGGACAGTGG